TATTTCAGGCCCTTTGCCCTTCTTCCAAATGCCTAGAGTCTGATTCCTTCCCCTGCTTCATTCCTGGGAGATGTTCTCTGGCCACCCTTTCTAAAATAGACATTACTCTTTTAGGTTTACTTGGTTGCTTTTTGATTTTTCCCTCATAGCATTTATTATTACCTCATTCATTTGCTTATTGTCTAGCTTCCCAACTAAAATATAAGCTTCAAGGATGAGTCTTTGTTGCTTCTAGAGTCTAGAACAGTCTCTGACAAAACATAGGTCACAAGAGCACAGTTGGTCTTCCATATCTGTGGGCTCCACATAGGCAGATTCAGCCAATTTATTTCAATCAAATGTTCTGAAAAAAAAATGTGTCTGAACTGAACCTGTTCAGACTTTTCCCCTTGTCATTATTCTCTAAACAATACAATGTAACAAGCGTTATACAGTATAACAGCTTGCAAAGTATTTACAATGTTTCAGGTAGTGTAAGTGATCAAGAGATTCTTTAAAGTATACAAAATGGCTGGGCCTGGTGGCACATGCCTGTAATCCCAGCAGTCCCAGAGGCTGAGGCAGGAGGATTAAGAGTTCAAAGCCAGCCCCTGCAATTTAGTAAGGCCCTAAGCAACTTATCAAGACCCTGTCTCTATGTAAAAGAAAGAGTTGGGGATGTGGCTCAGTGGTGAAGTGGTTGGGTTCAATCCCTGATACAACCACCACTACCACCACCAACAACAAAAAGTACACAGGATGATGAACACAGATTATATGCAAATACTATACTATTTTGCATAAAAGACTTGAACATCTGCAGATATTAGTATCTGATTGGTCCTGGCACTGATCCTTCATGGCTTTGGAGGAATGCCTCAAGGATTGAGTGCAAGCTCAGTTGTCTTTATTTTATTAACTAAGAAAGATGAGAGTTCATCTTCTGGGGGGTAGGAGGAGGATTCTGGATTTGGAACATCTGTGGGAAATGGGAAAGAGTAATATGGGGAAGCAGTTGGGAACTTGAACATTTGAACTCCAGCCAAACATATCATTAATTGTACTGTGCCTAGGGGTGGGGTGAGATCTAAGAGAGAAGACAGTTTCTCCCCACACAGTTTGTGGTAATTTGACTTATCTTTCTTGGAGTGGAATACAGAATTATAGGGTGGGGAGAACCAAGTAGAGACTCTTTAAAAAATAAGTAGGTGAGGGTGGAAGTAAAGAAAAAGTGAAGCTTAGAAGGGAACTGACAACCCATCTGAGAGCCATATGTGAGTGGTACAGAATTTGAGGAAAAGAGCAAAGGAAAGTTTTCTTTGATTTTATGCTTCTGTGATTAAAAAACAAATAAGCAAACAAAACAAAACAGGCCTTAAAATAAACATACCTGCTATTTGGCAGCTGAGAATTCTCAATTGGCTGGAAGTGAGTTTCAGGACAAATTGCCAGCTGCTGTCCCTTTTCCCCTCCCTTCCCTTGGGCAGGGCATTTATGAAAACAGGCAGTGAAGAAATAGAACAGAAATGTTTTATTCCAATTCTTCTCTCCTTGTTTCCAGTTCCATTGTAATAATATTTTTGTTAATCCAGGGATGCCAATGCTCATACTAAAGATAATTTACTATTTTTTGTGAGCAGTTTTCTGGTGGGGAGGGGTAACTGGAGAGTTAGAGACTGAAGTTCAAAATTCTTTATCTAGATGACTGTGGACCATGCTATCCTAGGCAGTTTTTTTTTTATTTTTTATTTTTTGGTACAAATTTGTTTCTTTATGAACTGCAAATTCCCAGAAAGATTTTTTTTTTTTTGCTTTCCACAAATGTCCTAGACTTCAGGATCAGAGTTTCTCTTATTTTTGTTAAAATTCTAAAAGTTAACAGAGCTCCTATTTCGTGTAACTGTTCCACTCAGGCTCTTATCCAGTTTGGTTCGTGAATAATTTCATTTATCAGGTGAAAAATCTTGGACTTATCTTTGACTTCTTTCTCTCATATTCCATATCTAATCTTTTGGGAAATTTTGTATATTCAGCTGTCCAAAATACATTCAAAACCTAACCAATTTTGTAATCATTACAGCCATGGTTACACACTTGCCTAAGCCATTTTCATTTTTTTTTTTTTTTTTTTTGTGTGTGTGTGTTGCTGGGGATTGAACCCAGGGCCTTGTGTATGCTAAGCAACACTCTACGACTGAGCCACATCCCCAGCCCCTACTTTCATCTAGATTATTGAAAGAGAGCTTCCTTTGGGTTCTCTAAATTCATTTTGTTTTCTACAACAGCAGGAGTGACTTTACTAAAATATAAGTCAGCTCACAGCATTCCTCTGTTTAAAATCTTTCCATGGATCCCATTTCAGAGTAAAAGCCAAAGTCCGTACCATAACAGCCCACAAGGCTTTGCATTATCTTACCCTTCCTGTCGTTTCTACTAATTTCTTTCTCATTCAGTCTTTGCCAGCAATCTTGCCCTCCTTGTTGTTGCAGATGGGTGAGATGGTGCAGATTCCCATCTCAGCATTGGCTGTTCCCTCTCCCTGGAAGTCTTTTCTCACATATTCATGTAGGTCACTTGTTGATTTCCTATAAGTCTGTGCTCAAACATGACCTTATTGTACTTGTAAGCTTCATCCCCTTACCATCTTCTACTTTTTTTCCAACGACTATAATTAGTTTATATTAATTATTAAAATACTAAACTTTTGGCTTTATTGTCCATTGAGCTTTATTCTCTTCATTAATGGATCTCCAGTAAGGAACAACCAGCCCACGATAAGTGTTTGATGAATATTTACCAAATGAATGAAAGGATGAATTTCCCTTATTTTAGTAAAGAAAACTCTCTTTTTTTTGGGGGGGTGGCGTGGGGTGGGCATTGATTACTAGGGATTTAACCAAGGGGCAGTCTACCACTGAGCTGCTACATCCTCAATCTCCCTTATTCTAATTTTTATTTTAAGACAGGGTCTCCTTAAGTTTCCCAGGCTGACCTCCAATTTGTGATCCCCCTGCTTCAGCCTCCTGACTGATTGGGACTACAGGTGTGGACCACCATGCCTGGAAAGAAAATTTTATTCAAATAACTAGACTTTACATTTTATTTTTTGAGACAGCTTAATTCCACTTCAATTGGTCATGAAACTGAAAGCTTGATTCTTGTCCCAATGCCAATAGAATAAAGAGAACTAGGTTTTGATAAAAACAAAAAGAAGTTTTGTTGCTTTGCTTGTAAAGGAGAAACACAGGGGACTCCTGTCCCAGGGGCTATGATTCTGTGAAGGGGAACAGAAGGCTTTTAAAGAGGTAATTCAAAGGCTACTCTCCAGCTTTGCCCTGTCAGGAGCCATAATTCATTTGTATCCTTGAAAGACAGCCATTTCTTAGATTTGTAGGTGTCAATTCTGAAGTATGGACTCCTTCATTCTGCTGGTCTCTGAGCTGAAGGACAGATAAATCGCCCTAAGAGGGGAAAGGAAGAAGAGTAAGAAAAAAAAAAATCCACCAGTTTTAAAATATACTGCAGTGGCAAAGCAGCAAGGATTATGTTCAAAGCATGAAGTAGACCCCTGTTACAATTATAACGATATTTCCAGATATAGTAGCTGGGGTGGTGCAATAGGGAGTTTAATGGACATTCTGGTAAAGGATATGCTAGACTAATAAAAAGCCATCCATTCTTGGAGCTACATAAACCTAGGTGTGTTCCACTGAATAGTCATGTATAATGACAGAGGAAAGTGATTTTGGGTTTAAGCGGACAACTTAAGGAGAAATTAAAGGACTTCTTAGAATGTGGAAGGGGGTAACTGTTCAGTTGTTTTTCTTTTAAAGTAAGCCACTACAATTTTCCTAAGCCTTTGCTTCCCTGCCTACAAAAAGATTCTATCTCTCCATGAGGCGGTTTGTAGGGTGTTACAAGCCGAAAAGCTCTTCAGAATGCTGCTTGACATTTTTTTTTTCCCCTTTTCCCTTTCACAGTGTTGGGGATGGAACCTAGAGCCTCCAACGTGCTAGGCAACTACTCTACCGTTGAATTATATCTACATTTTTTTTTAAATTTTAAGACAGCTCTTCTTCTTTTTTTTTTAAGACTTATTTATTAGTTGTAGTTGGACCGGATACCTTTGTTTTATTTATTTGTTTTTATGTGGTGCTGAGGATGGAACCCAGGGCCTTGCACGTGCAAGGTGAGCCCTCTACCGCTGAGCCACAACCCCAGCCAGCGACAGCTCTTTTTATATTTTTTATTTTATTTGTGTTGCCCATGCTGGCCTCGAACTCGCGATCCTCCTGCGTTACCCTTGCGAGTCCAGTCGCAGGTTCCTGGCTGCTTTTATATTTTGAATTATTCATTTTGATTGTGGCAAAATATACATAGCATAAAGTCTGCCTTTGTCATATTGAAGTCCCCCCCTCCTTTTTTTTTTTTTTTAAACATTATAGCAAGTATCACAGGAGTTTAAATTAGGGTCTGGACAATCATAAAGGAGACCAGGGGTGAAGAAGTCGAGGAACTTTCGGATTGTGCAGCGGACCCAGGCGACACGCGGATCTCCATTTTGTCGGGACGGGCCGCCCCTCTCCGCCCGGCCCAGGCGTCGAACCTCGGGCCCACGTTCCCGAAGGCAGAGGGTTGGACTCTTGCTCCGAGCCGCAGAGCAGGTGCGAGCCACAGCCCTCCGTCTCGCTGCAAGTTTTTCACGTTTATTGTTTCCGGAGGCACCGCCTCCCAACACCCGCGGCTCCGCCAGGAGGCGCGCTCTCGAGCCGCTCCGCCGCGCGCCCCCGACTGCACTTTCGACCAGAGGCGAGAAAAGAAAAGGTCTTTGGCTCTGCCGCCCGGGGCGCGCCCCGCCCCGCGGGTCCGCGCAGGCGCGCGCCGCTGCCGGCCCCGCGCCTCCCCTCCCCCCGGCCGTCCGGCGCGTCGCGGGCGGGGCGGACGCGGGCTCGGGGGCGGGGCGCGCTCGGGCTCAGGGGCCAGGCCGGGGATTAGTTGGTTTCGGAGCCGAGGAGGGCGTTCGGGCCACCGCGAGCACAGAGGAGACAAAGCCGCGTCCGGGGACCGGCCGGTGGGGGGGGGGGGGCGCGGTTCGGTGGCGCCCCTGCACTGCGGGGGGCACCCGCGCGCCCCCGCCTTTCAACAGGTCCGCCGCCTCGCTGGCGGCCTCGCCCTCCGCTCCGCTCTGCTCCTGGGTGCCCGCGACCCCCGGAGCGCCTCCGCTTTGCCGGGGCTGCAATCTGGCCACCCGCTTCGATGCGGTTCGGGTCCAAAATGATGCCGGTAAGTGGGTAGACGTGCGGGGGGCGCGGGGCGTCGGGGCCGGAAGTGTGCGGGGTCGCGGGCGGGGGCGTCCGCGCCGCTTGTGGGTCTGGAGCTCAACCTCGCGGGCCCGGCCACCCGAGCCTCTGGAGGTGTCTGGAGGGTCCGAACTCCATCCTCCCAGCCCCCAGCCTGGGGCCCGAGGACACCCTCCCTGCCAGGAGGGGTCCCTCACCTGCTCCGGAGTTAGTTGAGCAGCTGGTGGGGCCGCCGCTCGAAACTTTTACTTTTTGGGACCTGACTTTTTTGCGATTCTTTGAAGGTCAAGACTAGGGAAACTGGGAACCTTGTTTTTTTGCTTTGTCTTTCTGTTTTTGATTGTTCAAACTTTTTACCAGATTGGAACATAACACACTTTGAAAAGGGTACTTTGGCTTTATTTTTAATGGAATTTCGAGCTTGATGTCTGCGATAGCAACTAAGTCACTCTTATCTCTTTGTGGAATCGGGTTTTAGTAAATACAACCTCAAAAGTTTTAGATCTCAGGAAAACTTCTGTGCCCGGCTCCCTCTGTTTCCCACAGATTGTTCAAGCAAGACCTCTGGAGAGGATTAGCTGGTTCTTTGGGAGCTCGGTAGGCATGTGGCATGGCCTCCTGAAAGTTGTATTTGCTCCTCTCCCACTGAAGCGGGACCATCTTGCAGTCATCCCTTGTTCTTATGCTTCATTTGTTGAAACAAAGGAACAAGCTTTCTTTTGCTTTTGCAAAACCTGAAGAATGAAGTGATAACAATTTGTTTTCTGAAGTTACACACGCAGAATATAATATGCTGTCCCCTGACCCCTTACTTGTTTCCTGGAGGACGCCTGAAACTTGCACATACTGAACAAACATAGCAGTTTCCTTAATTGGGTTTAGATGGCTTGGGATAGGTTGTCCTGCCAGAATTCAAGGAATTGGAAATGTTAATGGCATTTTGCATCTGATTTTAGTTTGATATTTATTTATGAAGTTAGGTTTGTAATGTGAATGTCCTGTATTAAAATATGTATTGTGGATAAGGGTGAAGGATTTTAAGATTTTTATTCCTTGGATTTACATTTCTTTGTCTTTAAGTAATTTTTGCAGGTGTCTGAGTTTTTTCCTGAACACAGAAGTAAAGAGACAAGGTGTTGGTTGTTGCAATATGGTCTCTTTATTAAAGATTAATTTTATGTCAAGGTATCCTTTGGGGTTTCTACAAAACGTAGAGAGTTTTTCCTTCTCCCACGTACATACTAGATAATCAGAATTCTTAAAAGTTATGTGCTCTTGTGATTACATTCAGTTTAGCAGGTGTGGTTCCTCTGATTATCTTTCACAGACTGTATGATGCATGTGTACCAACTTTGAAATCAGACTAACCCTTCAGTGTTTGCTTAGCTACCACTTTTAGTGATCACAAGTCACTTAAAAAAATTGTCTCTCAGTTTCATCATCTGTAAAATGGGGATGATAATGATATCCAGCTCTTAGAATGTTTTTCAGGATTAGAGTTACTGTTTGTGATTCAAGCCAATAGTACAGTGCCTAGCTTGTAAGAGGTGCAAGATAAAAGCTACTACTGATTTTGTGATATTGAGTAAACAGAAGACTCTTAAACTTGAGATACATAAACAAATGAAAAAAATTTTCATTTAGTAGCCCCATGTGATGTCTTTTTAGTTGTAGATGGTCACAGTATCTTTATTTTATCCATTCATTTTTATGTCGTGCCGAGGATCGAACCCAGTGCCTCGCACATGCTAGGCAAGCACTCTCCTGATGAGCCACAACCTCAGTCCATCACTGTGATATCTTAAAAAGTGTTTTTACTTAAAAAGTATTTTTAAAACTTAAAAAGTTTTCTTCATCTTTAGCTTTTAATATGCTTGGATTTTTATTCCAACATGAGTAAGATTTGTTGTATTTTATTTTAATTAAAAAAATTTTTTTAGATGTAGTTGGACACAATACCTTTATTTCACTTATTTATTTTTTTATGTGGTGCTGAGAATCGAACCCAGGGTCTCACACATGCAAGGTGAGCGCTCTACCACTTTGCCACAACCCCAGCCCCATGTTGTATTTTATTACTTTGGAAATTTATAACCATTTTTTTTCAGGAAAAATTATAATGCCTAATAATATAAAAATGGATAATCAGAATGTAGACAGTTGCCTTGATATACTTTTTTATTGTGGTAAAATGTACATAACTTAAAATTTATCATTATAACCATTAAGTGTTAAATTGTTTCTGTGGCATACAGTACATTCCTTGATATGCTCTTAAGGGCATTCTAAAGATAACTTTGCTTCTTAGACTGCATTATATTAAAAATGTGCAGATAAATAGGTTTCATGTGTTTTCTCACCAAATAGTACAGAATCAAGTGGTTTTCTTTTATGTGGGACATGAAGTGATAATTGGTCCCAACCAGAAGTGGAAGATGGGTTTAGTAGGCTAACTAAAAATAAACAGGCAAGCACTGAGAATCACAGAGATAATGATAGGGTACTGCAGAAATTGGAGTGATAATTACTCTCATTTTCAGATACCTGCCATGGCTAATATCTATGTTTCTATATTTCTACAAGTTGGTGAGGAGAAAACTGATTAATCTTTTGTACTTAAAACATTCTTATTTTTCTTTATTAAAAAATAGGTTATTTGCACTTGGAGAGACTGGCTTTTTAGTGATCCACTCATTGTATTTGATTGTCGAATTGAGTCAGTTATCGAAAGCAAAAATTCTAACCATTTTAAAACCACATTAGGTATCTTTTATTGACTACTTTCATTTGTGAAGTGTTATATTCAATTTTTTTTGAAAGAGCTTGGCTAACTCTAAAAGCATTTGCTGCTCTTTTCAGATAACAGTTTTATAAAAATTTCTGTACCTACTGCTGAAATGGTCAAAACAAAACAAAAAACTACATACCAAAACCACACACACTATTTGGCAGTGCCACATTAAGGCCAGAGTGCTTGACTTTGCCTGTGTCACTTAGTGGTAAGTGTTGCCACTTCATATTTGGTGTATTTGTCCAGCTACAATAGAAATGTCCTGTATCCGTATTGTCTAGTATGGTAGTCACCAGGCACATGTGGCTACTGAACTTTGAATGTGGCTTATGGGACCGAGAACTGAACTTTAAAAAATAATTATTTAGTTTTAATTATGTTTAAATAGTTACATGTATGTTCCTGATGGCTACTGAAGTGCAGTCAAACCAAAGTTATCACTTAGGCTTTATATAGATTACAAATAATATATGGTTTTTCTTTTTGGGGGGAAGGAGTGCTGGGAATTGAATCTATGACTTTGTACATACTAAGCACATGGTCTACCACTGAACTGTACCCTTAGGCCCATGCAGGTAATATGTCAAGAAAACAATAATTTTTAAAAGTTCTATTGAAATGATCATGTGTTAATTTTTGAACTTAATGGTATTTTATCTTTCAGTGCTGTAGAGACACTGCTTTGTGGGCCTGTGACTCATTTTATGTAAAGATAATGTTATATATTTCACTCTAGTTATTTTGTAATACTGTAAAATAAAATCTGATTGTTTAAGCTTCTGATTTTGTGCATCTAGGACAAATAAATAGGATATTGCAGTATCTTCTTTAACAGTTTTACACTTGATGAATCAAATTATTGCCTGTATTAATGTTATTACTTAGTATTATTTAGTTTTGTTTGCACATATTTTCCAATCTGAAATTGTGTTTTGAAACTAAAAATTTTTGAAGCTATAGCTGTGGAACATTAGATTTATATGATATACTATGTTCTGAAAAAATTCCTTTCTATTGAGTAATAATGTGGTAACTTAACTTAGATCAGATTTGATTCCAGAATCAAGTTTAGATTAGATTCTTAAAGACTGGTTCCTGTCTTTATAGATTGTAATTCCGAAAGGCTGTTAGGCAGAACATCTATTTTTAAAAAATGTGCAAAACATCTCACATTTCATGTGCTATATAGGTAATTTAGTTGCCTTGTGATTTTGGTTATATTAATGAAAAGACATTGGAATTTTCTGTATTTTTGCCTGGTTTGGAGAAACCAGGTTTAGGCTTTATAAAGAAACTTGTACAAGTATACGCCTGCTTATATTTTAAAAAGTAAAGAGATTTATCTGGATGGGACCCCTGAGGGTCATTTATTAAATTCTACTTCTAGGAAGAACTACTTTCCTTACTCTTCATTCCCTTCTCCTACCAGCAGTGAAAACAATAAAACAAACTTTTCTCTTCTGGAGCTTTTAAGGAATAAGGTAGACCTTTATCTCTTTTGGTTATCTACCATAGTGTGTGGCACTCCTCCAAAAGTCTTTCTAAAGCTAATTTAACCCCCGACCCATTCTTGAAGCCTTCATGTTTTCCAATCTCTTTTCAGCTAAGATAGAATAATTGCATACCAACACATGCTAGTATGGTTTGTCGTGCATTATAAACTTTTCCCCAGTTTTCTCTACTAAGGAGTATCTCAAAGAATAAGAAGATTGAGGTATAAAGATTTAGGAATCCAGAGTGTTCCTTTCAATTCTTTCCATTTAATCAAGCTGAACATTATTTAAATATTTGTGTTTTGATGATGTGCTAGGTATTTAACAGAACATTTTCTTAGTTGGAATTGAGAGAAGAAAACAATAGGTAATATGAGTAGGCAGTTGTGGTAGGTGAAACCTTAAAATCCTCCATTTTACTGGAGTAAAATGGGGCAGTCTTGGTTACTGGAAGGCCCTTTTAGAGAGCATGAAATATTGAGGCAGATTCTTAAAACAAATAGCATATTACCTTATCAGAGGAAAACTGTCTTATCAAAGAAATGGAAATTCACACATTGTTAGATGATGGTTAGGAAAACTAGTTTCACAGACTTAGCAACTGTGGTCATTTTTAGGGTACGAAAGCGTAGAAAAGTTAGTAGAAAACCATAATGAATAAACTATTGTAGAACACTAATTTAAACTGTTAGTGGTGAT